AAGCCGGAGGCTTTGGTTCGCTTCCTCCGTTTTGCCAAATTCCTTACGGTTTGAGAGATATCTGCATTTTAATATGAAGAGACCGTCAATTTGTAGTCTCTTTTGCTAGAGCTTTGCACAGATCGTCCTCTTGTAATCTTCGTCTTGGCTCCTTGAAAATATGAGAGTCGTCAGGTTGTAACTCCCGATGTTGATTGTGAATGCTGTTGAATTGGGGCCTTCATTAGTTGTTGTGAAGGTCGTCAGATTGTAACCTTCTACGTGAAAGTCCTCAAATTGTAGCCTTCTGGAAGTCGTCAGATTATAACTTCCATCATCGGTGTTTGATGAGGGATTAACTATCTATTGTGATTTTTAGACAGCCTACAGTATGGTAACCTGATGTTGAGATCCCTTCGTTCAAATTCAAATATCTATGTCTATCCTTTTCATTCATCCCCTTATGCTGTACCCGAGATTTTTATGGTTACCTATCGGACCTTAGGCTCACCCCCATTATTTCTGTATCTATTCGCAGGTCATACAATCAGCAAGGATAAGGGGATTACAGACCCTGAATTTGAAGATTAGCTTTGGAGGAAAATCTTAGTAGGAGTTAATTTATATTCACTTTTGTAGTACTTTTGACTTATCAAACATGTACTAATGTTTGTGGCTATTATCATTATTGTAATATTTTATTGTTCTCTTTAGTTTTCTTCTATTCTGGTATTCTATGAACTCTACTGTTAACCTTGTGATCATGAGAATTACATATACATATTCAATGCTTTATTTCCCCCCTTCAGTGTATGTATACACACATACACACACACACACACACGTAAAGATTAAGCAGGTCAACCCTTCCTATTACAGACAGGTCATGCCCAAAATTTTATGTACCTCCATAAGGGGCGTTACATGTATTCTAATATATTATATATGAAAACTGCCTGTCTCGACGAGACGGAGTCAATCAGCTTGAAAGAATCCCACAATCCCATCAGTAACACCCGTTGTTGACAGGATTTCGGAATAATGACCATTTAATTTATTTTTAGTAATAAAGTTAGAGTCAATTTAGATTAGGAAACAAAATTAATTCTGATTTAATTTGGACTGATATGTTTCCTTAATTATAGAAAGTCTTTTTTAGGGTAAGATTTAGTGCTTTCTATTTCTTTATAATTCTAGTCTTATTAGGAGTCAATTTTTTTTTCTATTTAAGAAGAGCCATGTAATCATAGAATCATTAGATCGCTTTTATCAATAAAGTTCTCTTATATATTAATTCGCGGATTCGAGATTGCTTCTTCATGGATACGAAGATAGTTCTTTGTGGATTCAGAAAACACTCCTGGATGAATTCCGAGATTTCTTACTTTCATGTTACGTTACTTGATAACACAAATCACTCCATAGTTCTAAGAGGATCCTCCCTCACATGAAGGGGATGACTTTCTAAACACCACCACATCTTTTTTTATAGCTTCAAATAATAAGTTCAAGAAGCCAAAACCGCATCATTTCATTTTCCTACACATTAGTCCTCTAAACTTCCACCCTTCACATTCTTCAATATCGACTAGCCTTCCAATCCTTTCAATCTTCCTTAATTAACGCCATGCACTCCTCAGTTACGAAATTTAAGGAGAACCCTACAACTTTACAAGGGTGATAACGAGAGGGGGAGAATTCAGGGGTGAATTAGCAAATATGTAGATTTTTTATAGGGTGAATTTGCAATGAGATATATGTTGGGGGTATATATCGAAAAAGCCCTATTCTTTAACATTTTATAGGGTCCAACTATTTACACTCCCAAACAGTAACTTTGGGGGTGTAAATGGACTAAATTGCCCTTCTCTTTGTGGGTAATTAATTGCTCTGTCTTTGTGGGTAATTAATTGTTCAGTTCCATGGGTCCATCAATGCACAATTAATTGCTATCTTTTTTCGTGTCCGGTTTTTCGAATAAAAGACAGCAATCAATACACAATTAATTGCTGCTTCTCTGTTTTTTTTTCGAATTAAAATGTTGTTTAACGAATGATGTTTTTCGAAGGAGAACATCATCGCGTCAAACGACATTTTAATGATATTTTTTTTTGTTTTATTAACTAATTCCATTTTAATTGTGCGTTTTAATTGTAGGATTTGGAACTATATCGTTAATTGATTTTTTATGAAAACTATTAATGATTTTTATTTGTTAAAAATGTTTGAAGTGTTATTAAAAAAAATTAAATTTTTTTGAGAACATATATAAATGTTGGTTTAATTTTAATATAATTTGAATTTTTAAAATCGTTAATAAAATTTGTTTAAGTGTTTGAAATGTTTGAAGTGTTAGACTATAATGAAGGATAATAATAAAATTTATTAGAAAATCAAAGTATTAATCTACTCAACGAAATACATCAATTATTTTTTCGATCCTAATTAATTGTTCTTTCTTCTTGTTGTTGCTGCTCGACGTTCTCCATCTTCATTGTGGAGACGGTTAAAGTGACCGATCGAGAATGCAAATTGTGCATCTAAACCATCTGTAGATTTATCGTGATGGTCGTTTCAGTAAAATGCTATGGGTGGTACCGGATGATCCCCTGGTTTCATATGCAACTGGAAAAAAATGTACAAATATTGAAGTTATATTCTTATATAAAAAATTAAAGTTAAAATTCAACTTGTTTATATGATCGTCGACTAGTGTAATTTTCTTACCAAAATCCAATGATCATTGCTAAGATGTCCGCACACCACCTTTCGAGTTGGAGGTCCTTGTGTTTCATCTAATATCGCTGGCAGACAAGTATTTCCTCCATGTTCACTGAATGTCATGAAAACAACATTAAATGTTGTTGCAATTATGTGACCGCAATCCGGTACCGCCATCCAGTAATCATCATCCGCTGGTCCATGGTAGTGAGCAATCGATTGGATGAGATTAGTCACATTAGAACTCCTCGCACTCCTCCCACCTAAGATTCGAGCGTACAAGGCGCTTCTATTCTGTAGATCTGCTACTAAGTCTTGTCTAACTTTAACCCAATCATCTTCTGTTCCGTAAATTGCTAGAGCCACCGCTCTAAATCCACAATTTCCGTCTGCCGCTACATCTGTGCATTGATCTATGTATTTTCTAATGTAGGGCGGGAATTCTCTCTCAAATACAGAATTCTTAAAGATGAACGTGGTGCCTTTGGAAGAAGGGGTTGACATTGGAGGCCTTGAGCACGATGTATTTGGAGAAGATGGTGATACTGGTGGCCCCGTACGTTGGGATGTGCTCATTGGACTCCCCTGTGATGCAGAGATAGAAGCAACACGTCCAGGGCCCTTTACAAATGCATAGGTTGACAATGTTAAATTGAGAATAATAAATTAGTAACTAATATAAATCATAATTTTCAAATATAGAAATTCATAAGTTATGTAGTATTACCTTTTTGTTTGGAGACTTTTTAAATCCGTACTGTTTCACAACCCTCTCCCACGCCGAAGGTACACGGAGACTAGAGAGCTTTTTACCCTTGGTTTTCTTTTTAGCAGTAGGAGGTGCAGTAATATCAGGGACTTCTTCGAACAACGCCCTCCTCACTGGATTTGGTGGAGTCGGGGATCCATCCGCGGCATCATTAGGAAATATTGGAAACTGAATATCTAACTTTTTCCAATAATCATGTATTTGATCCAACGGAATGCTATACCCATTTATGATGTAGTACTGAAGCTCATGTGCGCACGGTAGACCATGAGTTCTCCTTAGGTAGCAACCACACGTTGTTGGATCCTGACCCATTTCTTGTAAAACTTGCATTTCTTTCCTTATGAGGCCGAATGCTTTAAACGTGATTGATCTGTTCAGATTAACAAACAACGTATCTCCAAGGGTGTCTGTGTTGGATTTAGTAGCGTTAACTCTCGCTACTTTCTTAATCTCACAGATTTGGCCTTCCATCACCTTGTGAAGTTTCTCCAGTACGGTATCGAATGGGTACCGACCACCATCTAAATGTCGTTTGACGCGATGATGTTCTCCTTCGACCCTGCATTACCAATTGAACTTGAATATTAATTATTAATGTTGACTACATGTAACGATTATTTAGTCACGTAAATCTCACAAGGCTTACCTATTTGTTGTGTAGCTTCCGAAGTGAAAATAATGGTCGATGTAAGCTGACAGGATTTTTTGGGAATGCGGACTAATCCATGTGTCAATGCAGTAGTTCAACAATGCTCCCCAATTCGAGTAATGTGCTGCCAGACGTCCCCATCTATCATTAAAGTCATCTATGGTCGGTGCACTTATCGCCCAATTCCAACGAAATTTAAATCCTTCTGCCGCCTCTTTTAAAAAACCAGGTTGCTGCAGTGCTCGTTGTAGCACGCATTGCTCAATGTGACGGCGACACAAATGATGCCTGGATTCCGGGAAAACATACTCGACAGCATGCATCAAGGCGTAATCTCGGTCTGTTACAATGACATTAGGTGTCACTTGGCTAACGAACAAAGTACGGATAAACTGTAACACAAACCTGCAAAATAATATAACATTAATAATTTTAAATTTAAACGTAGGACAAAATAACTGTACTAAATAATTGTCAATTGTAATTTATAACAACAAATTAACATAATAACAATATTAATGACAATACTACAATAACAATGTTAATAACAATAATAATACTATAATAAGTCCTAATTAAACAATATAATAATTTTTGTAATAGTAACAACTCCTAATAATACTATAATAAGTTCTAATTAAACAATATAACAATAAAAAAATATCAATATAATAATGTTCATAAAAATAATAACTCCTAATTAAACAATACTAATTTAATGCTCACACAAAAGGAAAAATTTATTGCACACACAAAAGGGCATTTTCGGCAATCTCACTCCCAAAGTTACTGTTTAGGAGTGGATATAGCAAACGTGCATTTTATAGTGGTCACTTTCCCTTGCTCAAAATTACCGATTCTGCCCCCGCACCATCTGCATCTCGTGCACATTATTCTATGAACCTCCTGCTCCAGCGAGAGCTTTTTAAACTAAACCCCTCACTCTCCTTCCTCCATTTGGCGGCAATCGAAACCCTAGATTTGTCCCTCGAGCTTCAGCAATGGCGTTCTGGTGGCCGCTGCTCGTCGCCGGCATCGCCTTCGCGATCTGCAAGCTCCTCTTCATGCTCATCCCTCCCAATGTCCCCTCGATCGAAGTCGATGCTTCCGATGGTACTCTTTTTCTTGATTTTTTTCGATTTTTTCAGTTTTTTGGACTGATTAGGGTTTTGCGTTTGGTTTTGATGCAGTGTTGGAGGATGGCAGCCAGACTAAGGAGAATAGCTACATTTATGTGAGTATTTTTCTCTGGGGTCTTTTTGAATGTAATTTTCCCCAAAACAGCAGGACTTAGGGTTTTTTGAGTTGCTAGTGAAGCTAGCAGTTTATTTATAGTTGCAGTTAGCGTGTCGTACTTTAAGTGAGTATTATTGGATACTGATCGTTGGAATGGTTTCTAGGGTTTCTTGCTTTGTAATTTAAAAAAAGGCACGATTTTGGGGTTCTTTTGAGTTCCTAGTTAGGATATCATACGTATAGTGTTGGCATACGTTGATTCTTAATGGTTATCTTTTATGTGGACACTTATATTTAGTGATTGGTTAGTATTTAGGGGCTTATCTAAGTAGGAAGGAAAGTAATAGTTTGCATTGATTTCTGTAGATACCGAGGAAGGGGAAGTCGGCGCAGACTGACAAGGTTCAGTGTTATGAGCCTGCCACTATGAAGTACTTGGGATATTTTCCAGCGTTGACCCCTGACGAGGTTTGCTTGTTCGATTTTACCCTTTGATCTATTTCTTGTTTAATTTTTTGAGAAATCCATCCTTACATGTGGCAAATGTTGTATTAGTGCATTACTGAATTGTTATTTTTTTAGCAGAACAGTGAGTAACGATTCTCATGTTTATAAGAATTTAACAACCGAAAACTATACAAGTACCACCATATAGAAAAGTAGCGGTAGCTAACTTGAGTCAATACAGAAGAAACAATTAAAAAAAACATAAAATGACCAATTGAAAGGACTGGACATTATAATTAAAGTTTTTTTCTGAACTATCAAAGAGAAAGAGCTTCCTGTTGTCTCAAATCTTATAGCTTTTGGATATCCGAGTGCATCGGGCAGGTAAGTCATCAAGTAGCTTTCCTGAGCAGGTTTAGGATCACATGGATTAGACCACTGAAAAAAATTCTGAATTGGTTTTCTGGAGTTATAATGCCCAGTGACTTCTAAAAGCTCCTAACTGTTGGAGTTAAGATCTAATCAAGCATTGCATGCAACATAGATCGTTTAACATTGTGGTAAAGTTGCAGTGGTTAAAAATGAGGTAAATGATGGTAATCACAGTTGTCCTGCAGGTAAAATTCACTCACTTATTTCAGTTTGTTCTCATAGACTCGTGTCTTTTTTTGCTCTTTGAGCCTTATTTCAATTGTCAATTTCCTGTTGCAGGAATATGTCTCTTAGATAAAGAATTCACGTAAAAAGTCATTCCCTTGAAAAGAAAAGATCTACAGTGGAAAGAAAAAGCAACTTTTTGGAGTCTGAAGTTCTATGTTCAATTTTCAAAACAATTTGTTTTTCTTCTTTCAGGAAACTAGATTCAGTAGTTGGAAAGTAACTCCAAACTCCTGTTTTCCTTAAATCTGTATTCTTTCTGTAGGCCATGATTCAAGGAAATTGCTTATGATCTCTGGATAAGATAGAACTTGGAAGCTTAGTTATTTTAACAATTTTCAGTATGTTATTGGCTACTGATTCTGGACACTCAGAACTTTCGCTAGTCACTTCACTAGTTAAGTATATTTCTCGGTGTAGTTAATCATTAGCATATACTTTAATTCCTTCCAACCAAGTTCTCTTAGATCTATCTCTAGTCTTATTTGTCTCATTAACTGAAATCTTTCCATTTCAGTTAGGTGCATTTAGTTGGCCTCCATTGCACATTGTTAAACCATCTCTATTGATTCTCTCTTATTTATCCTCAACATGAGCAAACTCTAACCTCCTATTATGCACTCAGTCCTTATCCTAGCTCTTCGTGCGTATTTACACGTCCATCATAACATTCTTATTTCTATTACTCTCATTTCTCACGCATGTTGTTTGTTAATTGCCCAATATTATGGTTCTGAAAACATCATCATATGTTAAATTCTTTTATTTTAAGCTTACTAAAAAAACTATCTCTTGCTTTTAACAGTTGTCTCTTCACTTGTGTTATAATTAACCGTTAGAGGTTTGCTAGTCCTGAGCTTCAAAGAGTTTCTACCCTATTGTTTTCCCCCTCTTTCTCAACATGACCACCCATCAGCATCACCAAACAAATGCACTTAAAACAAATTTGCCACTTGCTACCTTCCTTTAGTGTATGTGGATTGTATTTCTTGTAAATGATTGCAAAAAAATGTTCTGTGTCACTTTCAAGTTTTATTGATTCAGATTTTTTTATTTCTTTTTTTTTTGATTCAGATAATGATTGAGTGTACTTTCGAAGTGTCACCTCTACTGATGGGTACTGATTCAATGATTTTATCAGGTCAAGGAGCATGTGGCACAGGCTAGGAAGGCACAAAAAACATGGGCAAAGAGTAGCTTCCGTCAAAGGCGCCAATTTTTGCGAATACTTCTTAAGTATATAATAGAACATCAAGAGCTTATATGCGAGTAAGTGCTATATCTTTGTTTTATGAATTATTTTTTCTCATTTTGGAACTTGAAGACACACATTGCTACTCTTCATATGGAGATTTGAATTTTGTAACTGATATTATTTTCATGAGGCAATAAGTTTTATATATGTCTTACCTAGTTTATAATGATTTTCATTCTCCTACAACCAAGTATATCATTTTCTAATATCGATGCCATATATTGATACTGAATTTTGCTGGGTTGGGCCTTTCATCCAAAAGAACATTTTTTTCTTCTATTCTTACCATTATTTATCTGCTGTAGAATATCATCCCGGGACACTGGAAAGACAATGGTTGATGCTTCTCTGGGAGAAATAATGACTACTTGCGAGAAGATTACTTGGCTTCTGGATGAAGGCGAAAAGTGGTTAAAGCCTGAATACAGGTATCTGTGATATCTTCCTCTCTATTGCATTTAAATTTTATTTATCATCAATCTTGTTTATCCTGTTTGGCAATCATAGACATGCCGTGATATATGTCCACTCTGTATATACTCTAAGTTATGATCCAACCATCTTAGGGATTCCCTTTTTCCTCCCTTTTCTTCTTCAGTTTTTTGGTGAAACTTTAACTGAATTTTCATAATTGATGCAGAGGGCTCATTTAAAAGTTACAGCTTATGATGACTAATTGACTGATTGATCAATGCTTTCATGCACCTTTCTCAATATATAGTTCGGTGTGATGGAATTTTTTGGGGGGGTTGGGGGGGATTTCTTTGCCTTATTATGATGTTTATTGTGATTTTAATTGTAGATTATTGGAAAAGAATGCCAACGCTAACACTAATATACGAAAATAGCACTTGCATGTTGCATCCACATAAATATTCATCTTCCAAATAACGTAAGATTATTGAGCGGTGGCAGATAGCTGCAATAGAACTGCAAACTAGTGTTC